TCTTCCTATGAATGACTTGTGTTAGGAAGAGCCAGAATTACCAACATGAAAATCACACATCCAGCCATTCTTAACATCATTGTCAACAACATCGTAAACAATATGAGGGTACCAGTGCAAAGTCCTCAGTAGCGTCACATATCCTCATGTGAAACTGTTGGGTCATAAACATGCAATATCTACGATGTTATGAAATTCGTCATGTAATATCTTCGTGGGTCGATCATCCTCATGCTGATGAAAAGAAATCAATGCTTCAATGTGCATACTTATGCAGTACCTGCCCTTGGCTAGTATCCTGTCAATAATTTCGTCCTGGTCAGGAAAGGCAGTACGTGCAGTGTTCGTATTGCTAACTCTATTGAATAGAGTTGTGTTAGTACTTTTTTGTTATAAACAACAGTCGATGAATAATACTGGACTGGATGAAGAATGATTTATCGAGGAGAGGGAGGAGACGGTCTTTTTAAGTGTCACAAGACTGGATAGTTCCAACGTTTACTGTCATCATCATGATCACCATTATCCTCAAGAACTATGCTGTCATCCGGTGGAAGAACGGACTTTATCTTCAGTGAAGGATAAATGGTTCAAGTGAACGCTTTACCTTCAAGGATTGAATCATGCTTGGCCCAGGCCATTGGTTCATCTGTTGACGTACATATTACCTTCTGCAACATTGAATGACTGGACCAGAGAAATGACTAAAACTCTCAAGTTCAGGTCAGGTGGTAATGTCTGCATCTGACAGTAGTCAGAGACTTGTAGTTGGGGTATAGTAGACAATAGGGAAAAGATTAGGAATAGCACTTGGAACAGTGATGATAAAGTAATTGTTACTAGAAGATTCATTCTATAGATTGGAAACTTTATTATCTGATAACTCTTGATTATCTTTGATTATTCTTCTTCTTCTTTCGTTCGAAATAAGTTGTCTATATCAACAATTTTGTCTCTTGTATAAATTTCACTGTTGTTGTTAATTCATTCAGTGGTCCATAAAGTTTACGTTCCCCTGTTGTTCTTTCTGGCCAAAAGGTTTGCCTTAATGTGTCAAATTCGGTGCAGTCCTGGAGTACATGCTCTGCTGTCTGGGGCACTTTTCCACAGGCGCACATGGCTGATACGCCTACCTTGAATGTTGTGTACATGTGGTTATGTAATTGGTTGTGCCCTGTTCTGAGGTGGAAGATAATGACTTGTCTTGATCTGTCCAAAATAAAATAGTCATCTTGTGCTGGGGCTGGTGGTTTCCTGATTGATTTAATGATTCTTTTCTTTTGGTGGTATGTGACTGGTACATCCTGCTGCTCTTTTGTCGCACCTTCCCTTGCCAGTTGATCAGCTTTATCATTTCCAGGCACTCTGCAATGAGACGGTATCCACTGCATTACGACTCTTTGCTGAAGGCTAAGTTGTGTCAGCAGTGTTTGCAATTCTGTTAGTTTCCTAGACTGAAGTGCTTCAAGAACTGATTTTGCATCTGTCAGCATTACTACATACTGGTAGCCAAGATTGGTATTTAGCAGTTTCTCTGTTGCTGTCTTGATAGCCTGAGTTTCTGCATCATAGTTATGGCAGTACTTTCCGGTTGGTATGCTGGACTTATCCCTAGTACCATCTGGGAATTCTATGTCTTTTGGTTATAATTCTTTGAATTAATATGTAAGTTGTGCCATGGTGATTAAAGTTCAGGTTGTAAATGGACCCTCTGTATAAGATTATTCTTGAAGTCGTCTTGAGATGGCAAAAGTATCCTTCTTTTATGTGTGCTTCTCATTTTTTCATTTGTAAGCATACACGGGGCAATAATTAAGTGGTGAGGAAGTCAGGAGAGACTAGTATAACCAGTAGGAGGAGTGGGTTATCAAACGTCTAGGTCGCCTAGTCCCAGTGGAGGTGTTTCTGACCAATGAGAACTTCGAGAGATACCCTTGAGACCAATAACCGAGCCGCCAGAAAACACCAGTACCTTCTCTGAATGGTGGGTTTTTCTGTATAGTTAATACAGAAAGACGAGCCCATCACGCGACACCTCTTATCTCTGTTACATCATTATTTGGTGGCAAGACAATGCGAACGAACTTCAGTGGGATCGCATCGAAGTGTAGTTGTTCTGAGAAGAAAACTGCTCTGATAAGAACTGATTCTACACTTCAATTATCAGTAAAAGGCGACAGAGTACACACATGTTACGTAGAATCTGTTTTGCTGTATGGTAGTGAATCATTGGATGTGAATGCACAAATTAGAAAGAACCTGGAAAGACGGAGACACCTCTTGTTCAGCATTAAGGTACCTTCTTCACTTCCCTACCATGAACTACAGGATCAAGATCTGGAGGACGATGGAGGTGATGGCAGTGACACAAGCTTTTGTGTGGCTAAAATCACAGGACTATTCCCGCTTGTGTGTGCTGAGTGATTCTTTGAGCATGATCCGGCGGGACGAGGCAGGCTGGGTACGCAGACAGTGGATTGAGTCATTGGAAAACTCTCCTGTGTGTATTTGTCCTAGGGTATGCAAGTGTTGTTGGTAATGAAAGAGCTGATAGACTGGCAGGTGCCGCGTTAATTGAAGATGGCCGCCCCATGAATCAGGCAGACATTGTCAATGCCCTTAGTGAGATAGGAGGTTCCGATGAATTTGGAAGCAACGTATCCACATCACTGCTAAGAATACGAGAATTGTGAGTAACGATCCGTACAGGTAAGCACGAAAAGCACACCGGACCGCACGAAGTCTCGTCAACCAGCTTAGAACTGGCACTAATGATCGCGCGACGCTGATGAATATGGGAAGAGGGATTCTGAGCACCTATGGATCTGTCCGGAGTGCCGTGAAGATAATCCAACTCATAACTCAAGGCACCGAGATATGGGGAGATGCATGAACGTCTATGCCAGTTGGCAAGGCACGTGATGGGGATGAAAAGGCTACAGTTGTATACGTTCTAAAGAGAAACTAGAGTTGCAATAATCGTTCACCAGATACAAGAACTTAAAAATTTTGTCGATTTTTCTGTCGATAGGGAACGTCAAGTTGCGGAAGAACAATTCAAAAACAATTTCGGACAGTTTCGGTAACGAGGTCGCTTTACTGTGGCCAGCTATAAATAGCTGAAACCACGTGTTGTGACAAGTAGTGAAAACAGGTGTTCGTCTACCACAGCTGTTGTTGTGTTTAGATACAGCGGTAAGTATTCCAGCTGATATGAAGTTGTTAGCCTACATTCGAGCAATAATGCTTGTAATGAGTTCCCCATTAAGTTTTACATTTGCTTATGATAATGCATCTCTATGCATTTGACAGAGTCGACAGACAATTATTATGGAAAATAATTAAATAATAGCAAGATATGGAGTAAGCGAACACCTCATCGAAGTGTTCAAAAGTTTGTACAACAGGGATTGAGATTGTAGAAGTGTAGTTAGAATAAATCAGGGAACATCTCATCCTTTCACAGTGACATCTGGAGTAAGACAGGGGTGTGTCTTATCACCACTGCTGTTTATCACCTACATCGACAGTATATGCAAGAATGCCAAGCCCATGAATGAAGATCTTAGTAAGATCAACGAATTACTCTTTGCAGATGACCAGGCCTTGATAGCAGATACAGCCATGAAATTGCAACAACATCTAACATCCATGAATGAAGAATGTAAAACAAATAATATGAGAATCAACACTGAAAAGACAGAAGTAATGTCAATAGGAAAAAAAGAAGACAGATCTAAACATAGCAATAGAATGCAAAGGCATTAAACAGGCATCTGAGTTTAAATATCTGGGAACTACATTTACCGAAGATGGGAAATTGGATAAAGAAATTGACATTAGATGCAGTAAAGCAAACCAAGTATTGGGACAGCTAGCCCCCCTCTTACAGCATAAGACAATCCCAATCAGCACAAAAAGACATCTTATTCAAAGCATATTTATTCCAACTCTGTGCTACCAGTGCCAGACATGGTCACTCACAACAAACCATAAAAGAAAATTAGTAACCATGGAAATGATATGTCTGAGAAGGGCTGTAGGAGTGACCATAAGAGATAAGATCAGGAATGAGATCATAAGAGAACAAGTCGGCACAGAACCAATTCTGGATTACATACAAAGACAGCAAGTGAAATGGTTTGCCCACTTAGAGAGAATGCCTTGTGACACCATACCATACAAAGCATACATGGAAAGAGAAGAAGGACGTAGAGCACGGGGTAGACCAAGAACAAGATGGAAGGATAACATCAGAGAAACTCTACAACAGCGCGATGTGCCTATGGTCGAGGCAGCCAGAAGAGCTAGAAACAGAACCTTATATCTCCCTCGACACCCACAGCGGTAAAAGAGGAAGTGAAGAAGAAGAATGCTTCTCTATAAAATAAATATATAGGATAATTATAATTCACTTTTAGTTTTAAGTACAAGTTTTACACTTTTACGGTAGGAATGTCAATAGGTTATCTTCCGAATTACGGTCCCAAATTAAGGCCGAAAATATTTGGATGTAATAAATATATATATATTATATATATATATATATATAATATCCCAACAGGGTACATGTAAATTGTGGACTTCCGCGAGCGGTGTGGAGTGGGGCTAAACTAGATGGCCGGGACGCATGAGCAAATCATTTTAAGTTATGTACTCCATACTCTGGAGGATTAATTAATGTTTTACCCATGGAGGCATAAGAGAATTGCCCTAATTCATAACCCAGCTGGGTATTTTGGGGATTATAATTTTGTCAAGGCTCCCAAGTTGAACCCAGCCTGAAACTGGTACTGCCAAATGTCCTGGGAAGTAAAGGCGATCAGTCATGTGATTTGAGGAATAAAAACACAGCCCTGATCTATGGTTCTGGTGATCATATGGAATTACAAATCGTGACCACCAACACTGGTTGTCATGATACTTGATGATTATTTCATCCTGTGATAATAGTTAATATATATTTTCTTTTAGTTCCAGGTAACTTGAATAAAAGCAAAATGCAAGTGCAAATAGATGAACCACAGGTAAATTTGTTGTTCACAGATTTTTGACATCTCATTTAGTAGGGGACTCTGTGATAACTGTCTATGGGTTTATGCTTTAGTAGAAATTTGGGCATTCCAGTTGGTATAAGTATATAAAGGACACACTCTGGTGGGTAAAAGTTTTTGATTGGAAAATGATTGTGATACACACTATCAATATCACAAAAGTTTCATTAGTTAGTATTCTGCTGTTTTCTCTTGTCTCTTCCTTCATTTCTGCATGAAGAGTTTGGCTTGGGCTATAGCTTTACTTAGTTTATCTGTTTGTTAATGCAACAGTAATTATTTATAATGTACTTTGTTGATGTGTAATAATACTTCATCACCTTCAGTAATTAGTGGCCTTTTATGACATGCTTGTTGGATGCAGTGAGTCTGTTCTTGTTCCCTCAAAATGAGTTCCCGTAACCCAAATAGGGAAAGTCATTTGTAATAATCGCACTTAAATCAGAATTGAAAAATTAAGCTGAAATTCCAGGTTGGGCTCTCCTTGCAATAACGAAGTAGGGAAAGAGGGCTGCTTACACAAATGACATTGCATTAGAAGTGGAAAAGAGGGTGACATTATTAGGGGTAGGGTTTCTTTAGGGTTAGGCTAATGTGAGTCGCAGCACATGGTCTAGACGCCATGTTGAACTCACTGTGTTTTGTGATTCTTGCCTTGTCCACTCCGTAATTGCACTGCAGCCAGGGGACTGAACTCTGACTAAGCAGCCGTCGCCGTCCAAGTAGCGACCGTTATTGCAAGGAGAACCCCAGGTTGATTGAACCTGATACCAAGAAATATCTGGAAAATAATGGCTGATAACATGATACTGACTAAATTACCAGTTGGTGTCTATAAATATGAGGGCAGTATCATGTTATCAGCCGTTATTTTCCAGATATTTCTTGGTATCAGGTTCAATCAACCTGGAATTTCAGCTCAATTTTTCAATTCTGATTTAAGTGCGATAAATATAAAATGACTTTCCCTATTTGGGTTACTGGAACTAATTTTGAGGGAACAATAGACTCAACACATGGAAATGGCTCCTTTACTTTGTTTGCCTTATTTGTCTTAAACTACACTGGCAGCCTAACTTTTTTTGTGGCATCAATAATGTGACAGATGTCAGAACATTCTGTGTCTGGTATACAAGAGCAGCGGTTGAAGGTAGATGATGCTCTCTCCTATCTGGATCAGGTGAAGCTGCACTTTGGCAACCAGCCCCAGGTCTACAATGATTTTCTAGACATTATGAAGGATTTCAAATCACAGATGTGAGTTTTGTGCTAGCTGTATGTGTGGGAGAGCGATAGAAGAAGTTTTGTCAAGTATAATATCTCTACGTATCATTTTAGTAGAGCAATTAATTAGTATTATTTATATATTTTCACAGTGCTGAGAGCTGTTGTGTTATAAAAAGTTAGTAGTGTTGAACATAGACTGGCTGCAGTAAATGAGTTTACTGAACGTAGACTATAAGTAGACAGCTCATCAAGATGGAGGAGACATGCACAGAAACTATTGAATGCTCTGGCTGAAGCCTTTGTCGACGATTATCACAGTTAGAAAATAGGTGGTTTCTAGGATTACTACTTGTCAGTACAGGTTGAGCTTCTAAGTCCTAGTCTGTCAATGAACTCATTTAATGATTAGTTTGTTTGACTGCCATTAAAATGGTACAGAGAGCTAAAATTAGTTTTCTGACCAGTGCCTCTGGGGTTGCCCCTCCTTCTAAAAACTTGCTGCCAGAGTTTTCTGGTGGGATTGCCTGGGGGGGGGGGATAATGAAGTGAACTGACCACCCTACTTCTATTGCTTGGCTTAGAATATGTAAAGGCCTTACACTAAACCCGGCAATGGCAGTAATTGCTGTGGAACTACCCTTTATTTTATGCATTGTATGTGCAGATCAGAAATGATAACAGGCATGATTTAGGACTGCTAAACATAAACTCAGCATTCTCGTACATGAAGATTGTCAATGCACTCAGTTGAGATGAATCAAGTGGCTTGAAATTTCTCCTGTCAACTTTCCCAGATATTCTCCTCTATGCCGTGCTTGATGGTTTTGTAAACTAGACTGAGCGTAAAGTGGCATGTGACACTCTGCCAAAATGCAGTTGTTACAGAGACCCACAGGGATCATTGCTCACGCTCAGGAGTTTGTGCTCTGTGTGAGTCTCAGCAGATGGCAAACTAATGGAGAGAGACAAAGTTATGTAAGATAAAGCAGACAGTGTTTATCTGCTTCAGCCAGCCTCCATTGCAGAGTGGCACATCTCTAATAAATTATGTGAATGGGGAGATGGGAGGTAGTTACTACAAAATTGTTTAATATGATAGTAAAATGTAAATTGTGTGTGTTCATTCTTTCTTTTCAGCACTGAATGTTTTTCCTTTTTTTTAAATTAATTTTTTTATTTCAGCATTGACACCCCAGGTGTTGTTAATCGAGTGTCAAATATGTTCAGAGGTCACCCTGACCTCATTGTGGGCTTTAACACTTTTCTTCCTCCTGGATACAAGATGGAGGTGCATTGTGGGTCCATCAATGTCCATCAGCCTGGTCAGCAGGTCATGTCCATCACAGCTCTAGCTCTGTTACAGGCAGTGTCCACTGTGAACAGGGTGAGTGATAAGGCAAGGATTGGCCTTCTCATTGCTTTAATTTTATGGTTACATCTTTTTTGTTTAGGTTATCTACATAAACTCCTAGTGTACATGCTCAGAAGCTGTATTCTCAGCACCTAATTTTTATAGTTGACCAGAACTAAATGTTGCTACATGTCCACATACAGGTGAACAGAATTAATGATGCTTTATGTCAATACACAGACGACCAGGACTAATGTCATGCATGTCAGTATACAGTGACCAGAACTAATGTTGTTGCATATCAACATACAAATGACCAGAACTAATGTTGGCTACATGTCCCCTCCCCGTTGCTCCCCCCCCCATTTACTTTCATACTCAAGGAGTCCTTATATCCCCCCCCCCCCCCCCCCTGCTTCCTGACAGCCAACTAGGCACCCCAAAAAAGGCTGTGTCAGGAGTGCTGTGAAGATAATCTAACTAATAACCCTAAAAAAGTTGTCTTCGTTGGCATCTCTATCATACAGCTTGAAATCCACAACTATGGAATATGGACAGAATTAATCTCAAACCATTTAAATGGCACCATAGGTTACATAAATGTATATTAACGAAGCATAGGTCGAATAACAAACACAGCTACAATTTCCAAAGACACTAGACTGTTTAGAATACAAAAATTTAGGAAAGACATTTGATTGGTAGGTTCAAATGTGTTACACACATCATTCACATAAATAAACACATAAATGGGGCACTTGAAACAGTGGAAATATTATATATATCATTAACGAAGAGACAATGTATTGATCTGCACTCATAGAAAGAAGTAGAAAGACAACATAAAACTCTAAATCTATTGTTACTAATTTGAAGCCTAATTTATTTTTTAACATTAATGTGGCAGGTGTCAGCACCTTCTCTGGCCGGTGGACAGCAGCAACAGTTCCAGAGCCAGCATCTGAAGTTAAAGGATGCTCTGTCCTATCTGGATCAGGTGAAACTGCAGTTTAGCAACCAGCCCCAGGTCTTTCATGATTTCCTAGATGTTTTGGAGAAGTTTAAATCCCAGGCGTAAGTATTTTGTGTATATTGATTCAAGTATGTTTGGGGGAGTGGTAAAATAAGTTTTGTCAAGTTTATTATCACTGCATGTAAGTCTATTAGAGTAGTTTATTGTTGTTTTTTACAATGTTGAGAACGGTGATGGTATAGTTACTGTTGTTAAAAATGAGGATGTGACTGCAGGCGAGCTGCAATAAAGCAATTCGCTGAACACAATATAACAGGAATTTGACCTGGTCAGCAAATGCTCAGTCAGATGTGTCGGCAAAAACATGTGAATATTTTGTCTTTGCTGTGAACAGGCACAAAGCAATAACATCACTCAGATGAATGAAAAGAAGAAAAAACTATGACTGGAAAGCTCAGACAGTTGGGGAAGAAGAAGACCAGAAAGTTGGGGAAGAAGAAACTATGACCAGAAAGCTCAGAAAGTTGGGGAAGAAGAAACTATGACCAGAAAGTCGGGGAAGAAGAAACTATGACCAGAAAGTTGGGGAAGAAGAAGCGATGACCAGAAAGCTCAGAAAGTTGGGGAAGAAGAAACTATGACCAGAAAGCTAGCAAGTTGGGGAAAAAGAAACTATGACCAGAAAGCTCAGCAAGTTGGGGAAGAAGAAACTATGACCAGAAAGTTGGGGAAGAAGAAGCGATGACCAGAAAGCTCAGCAAGTTGGGGAAGAAGAAACTATGACCAGAAAGCTCAGCAAGTTGGGGAAGAAGAAACTGTGACCAGAAAGCTCAGCAAGTTGGGGAAGAAGAAACTGTGACCAGAAAGCTCAGCAAGTTGTGGGAGAAGAAACTATGACCAGAAAGTTGGGGAAGAAGAAGCGATGACCAGAAAGCTCAGCAAGTTGGGGAAGAAGAAAATAAATGCAGTTTGGCTGAAGCCTTTATTGACAAGTAGCATAGCAAAAATGTGGGTGGTGTCTAGGGTATCTCTTCTTGCTGTGCTACTTATCGAAACAAGTTGAATTTCCAGGTCATAGTCATGTGTTTAGTGATTAATGGGTTTCACTAACATTACAATACATGGGGTTATCCCCAGCGGAGAGCCAAAAATAGTTTTCATACTTCATCCCCTCTGGAGTTGACCCAGCCTCATAATAAAATTGTTACAAGTTTTCATTTTTCTGGGATTGCTTAAAGAGAGAAAAACAGGTGATGAGGATTGGAACTGCTCACCCTACTTGTAATGCATGGCCTAGAATATGTAAAGACCTTGGACCAAACACTGCAGTGGCAGTAATTGCTAAGGAACTAGCTTTAATGAATGCATTGCATTTGCAGATTAGAAATTATCACAGGCATGATTAAGGATTAATAAACTTAAATTCAGAATTCTTGGACATTTTGTCAGTGCACACTGTTGAGATGAACCAAGTGATTTTAGATTTTGTCTGTTCACTTTCAGAGTTACGCCTCTTCATGCTAGTCTAGATAGTTGTGTTAAAACACAGCTGCTTTTTATAACATACATCAACAATATATGCAAAGAAGCAGAAAGCGAAGAAAAGAATGATACCTCAGAATTGTTACTTGTGGATGACCAAGTATTAATAGCTGAATAGAAGAGAGTTTACAGAACCATTTAGACCAAGTCAATACTAAGTGTGAGACAGATAATATGAGGTTAAGGATTGATAAGACAGGAAATTCTAAGGTAAATGTAAAGGATGGAGATGTAAACCAGCGTCACTGCACAGGATTATAAACCATAAGTGCTCTGTCGCCAGGAGGGACAGCTGATAAGAAACTGTCCACCAGTCAGCGTCCCAAACAAACTAATTTAAATATCTACGGTGATTTTTTTTCACCTCAGATAGAAGAATGGATAGAGAGATTAACATACGATGTGCGAAAGCAAATCAGGTTATGGGACAATTAACACCACTTCTGACTCATAGAAAGATACCTCTGTCAATCAAAGCAAATCTCATAAAAACAGGTTTTTTTTTAGCCAACATTGTTCTACCATGCCAAACATAGGCACTTACAGCTAATGAGTGGAAGATCGTAAGAACAGAGATGAGGTGTCTTAGGGGAGCTGCTGGTGTGATAAGAAGAGACTAAATCAAGAATAAAGAAATTAGAATAAGTCTAGGACTGAAACTAGTCATACAGTTCATTGAAGAACAACAAATGAGATGGTTTGGCCACCTGATGAGTATGCCCTGGTACAAACATCCACAGAGAGCCAAGTTGAAGAAATATAATGAACACAGAGCAAGGGGAAGACTGTGCAAGAGATGCCGCAACTCCATCAGGAGCAACCTAACAGAGGTAAACACCAACTTGTACAATGCACTGGAAAAAGCAGACAAATGAACTTAACATCTCCCCCAACACCTCGCTGAGGTAAATCGTGGAAGAGAAGAAGAAGAACCCATCCACATTACTCAAGGGCTCCCCGCTTAGAGACAGCAGCACCTGCTGAAATTGATAGCAAATATTCCTGGTATTCAGGATAGGAACACTCAGAATGAAACAGAAAGAAGAAAAATCAACATTAAACTACATAGAAGAACAATACACAAGTAACATCTGGACTATGCATATACAGATGGATCAACAAAAAACTCAACTAAAAGTGGAGGTGGGGGAATTGTCCGGAATCTGAAAAATGGATTAAAGAAAACAAAGTCAGTTGCAGCTGAAAAATTCTCAGTTTTAGAGCAGAGGCCCTGAGAACTGCAGCATAAATGCTTCTGTCAGAGAAAAACACACATAGCTATCTTCATCTTCTCATCCTGCCTTCTTGAGAGCACTGAGTATGTCAGTTGAGCTGTGTTGAATTACAAATTGTGTTAGCTTCACGGCACTCCGTACATGGTGCTTAGATTCCCCCTTCAACATATACATCAGCGTCCTGTGGTTGATAGTCCCAGTATGAATCTCAGCCCAGTCCATTACTTTTCCTGTACCTCCAGTGGCACTGCCAGCAAGCCAATCCGCTCATTCATTCCCTCTTACCCAGTGTGTCCTGGTACATAAATGAAACTTATTTCTTTCAGATGAGATTCCCTAGGCGATTCGATTCCAACTATTTTCTTTGAATCCATCCTGTCTCTATCTTAAGAAAGCATGCATGGGTAAAACTCTATGTCTCTTGCCACATCATTGTTTTTATTCCGCTATAACATCAATAATCAGACTACTTGTGGATGAGGCAAAAGCCCTGATACCTTCTTTTACAGTTTTCCCTTGAACCAGAACTGTGAAAGTCCACGAACTTTGTTCGTCAAACTATGGATCAGTCAGTGTAGATAACTGCACCTCCATCAGCAGAATTTTCAATGTGTCTGTACACTGCCACACTGGATGCCCCTAGGTATCTATGTGGGAAATATATAAAACTATAGTGGACGCGAAAGTCCACTGCTGTAAAAATATAATATGAAAAAGAAGCAAAGAACTCATTTTATTTAGCTAATTAGCCTACTATTGACTTCAAAAGTCGTTCATGACGAATAGAATGTTAAATAAATGGAAGTGAGGTTAAACAGTCATGAGCAGGACGTGGTGATTTCTTGAGTGGGCCGAGTACCAGAGCACCATGTATTGGCTCTGCATTATTAGAAGCCTCCTTGGATGGTGGGGAATGCTCGTGTTCTGCCCTGCCTTCTCTTGAGGGCTGACCAGCATTACATTGCTTGTTTAGACCGGTCTGATGTTGGACACCAACTGTGACCTATGAAACAAAGAGACCCACACAACAATGAGACTGCAATGCCCCACAAAACTAACTGGGAAGGTTAACCCGATCACAAAATGCCAGCAAAAGTTGGATGTGTTGGCTGAAAGGTGCAAATATCGCAGCCATGCTGTAAACAGGCAACACAGTTACATCTTCAGATGAATGCCGAAGAAGATATGATGTTAAAATGTATATTGAGTGCTATCATTCTATTTTCATTGCTGAATTGATGAAACTGCTTTTTTCCTTTTTTATTTCAGCATTGACTGGTCATGTGTCATTAACCAAGTGTCAGATTTGTTCAAAGGTCACCCTGACCTCATTGTGGGCTTCAACGCCTTTCTTTTTCCTGAACAGCAGATCAAGGTGCAGTGTAAGACAATCAGTGACAGTCAGCTTGCTCAGCAATTCATGTCCACCACAGCTCTAGCTTTTTTTCTTGTTCTTGTTCTACTTCTTCTTCATAATCGTCATTATCTTCTTCTTCTTCTTCTTTTTCTTCCCCTCCTTCTTGTTCTTCGCGTTAAACAGTTGTAAACTCTGGCATAGAGTTCTGGTTGTTTGTCCACTTTTGGACTTTGGTCTTTTTCCAGAACTTGAGTTTTGCCTGCACTTCCATTTTCAAGATCTGGCTTATGTGTATGTAGACTGTTGATTCCTTGCCCCAGGCAGATGCACTCTGACTTCTAAGAAATGCACCTAATTGGTCACCTCCTATCATATGTTTGTTGAGAGTCAGTGAGTGTTATTTTCCCCACTCCCTAATCCAGTGTAGGATAACTGTTTTGAAATCCTCCTGTTTCTATTTATTTGTTGGTTATACTACTACATATAGACTAAAATTGAGAGGGCCAAATGAATATTTATGAGAAATAGGGAAGAGAGGGATTTACATTTTTTTTTTAAATTGCAGAAAGCCATTTTGTATTAAGAGCTGCATTTTACGTCTTTTCTTTTTAGTCTTGTCACAATATTGCTGTTTGTTTGAAGGTGTCATGTAAAACTATACAAAATGTAAATAAACAATGTTGATGGTAACGATGATGGCTCTCTTTTTTCTTTCCATTTTGTAGCGAACATTGCTTCTTGCTCTTTCTCTTGCCTGTTGTTCATGTTAAAAATCTCCCCTATAATGAGTCCGAACCCCCCCCCCCCCCCCCCCCCCCCCCTACATGCAGAAGTAATTGCAGTGGGCATATACAAATAATGTTACCTGACACTGACCCAGCTACAGGTGAAGGCCATTGCTGTTGTGCTAAGTTTTTTTTAATATAAATCTGGACAAATAATCAGCAGGGACATTTTCCATCCCACTTCTGTACATGATGGTATAGTTGAAAGTTTGCAGGAAAAGTGTCCAGTGAAGAATAGTATTTGTATTGACCCTGTATTTTATACAAGAGCTTTGTGGTCTTAGTTAGTTGGGTTATCATCATTGCACTCCGGACATGTCCATAGTTGCTCAGATCCTCCCTTAGTATGAACCCCAACGTCCGATGGCTAATAGTACCAGTTCTATGTTGATTAACAAGTCTTCTGACGTGTCCGGTGTGCGTCTCGTTTTTTGCTGTGCCGATCTTAATTCCCAAGTCTGCCATTCTGGCGAGTGATGTGGATTCACTGCCACCAAAGTCCTCTATCCTTCCCATTTCTCCGAGGGCATTGATAATATCAGCATGATCCATAGGCCGACCGTCGGTAGTGATAGCGGATCCAGCCAACCTGTCAGCTCTTTCATTTCCATCGACGCCTGCGTGTCCCGGAACAAAAATAAAGGTGACTCCTCGCACAGTGGACTTCTGAATTGATTCAAGCCATTGTCTTCGCACTGAACCTGCCTGAACCCTCCGGATCATACTCATTGAATCACTGAGTATACATATGCGGGTGTATTTTTGTGTTTCAAGCCAGGCAAACGCTTGCGTCACTGCCATCACCTCCATTGTCATGCTGCTTGTTGTCATGGAGAAGGCCCCATTGGCTTCTTTGACTTTCTTTGTGGTCTGTGATTACACAGAAGTGACTCCCAGTCAGGTAACTGGTAAATTTTGATATAGTAAATTCCAAGCACTTCCCTTTCTCCGACGCTATAAAAGGTCTCAGTGTCAGTGTGCTTGCGACTGGCAGACAAGCACTAGTGTGAAATTCTTCTACTTATTTTTTGTTCATTGGCTGAGAGCTGCAGTGGAAAGTCCTGTTTTTTTGTCAATTTGGACTTTGTGCCAGGGTCTGAGTTCTGCATGTACATCTGTTGTACAGGCTTATTTGTAAACAGATGGCTGATCCTTAAGACATGCTTTTTTGGGTGGGCAGTGGGTCTATTCTTGTTTTTCCTACAGTGGGGCCCAGAACCCACAGGGAAAGTGTGTGAAAAGCCATCATACTTCTGTGAAATTTACTGCACTCATGTGATAGATTCAAAATTGTTTTTTTGCTAAATGCTTTTTTTTTTTATATATTTGATATAACGTGTGCATGTTGGTTAAAAAAAAAAGTTCAATATTTTCTTTGGCAATATTAAACAGTTTGAAAATAGCGTTATGTCCCTTTAAAATGATAAAATGAGCTGTTTGAAAAAGACAATATCATTGTTAGTTATGGACCTAAAGTGGAGACAGCACTGATAGCAGCACCTACGGGTAAAACCGTTTTTGTGCAACAAATTTTTAAACATCTGGGCGAAATGGTCGACCTGGTACTGGAGATTATTTGGTGCTGTGAGGAATGGCAACCCCTGTATGACAACATGGAAGGTGTCATCCTTAACGAAGGCCTGCCCAACATGGAACAATGGCATGGTGATAAGTGACGTCTAGTGTCTCGGGGAAGACCAAGGGAAACTCTACTTAGAACTATCATCAGGGAAGGCTCGCTCATGGGCCACTCAAACATTCAAGACCTACAACAGATTGCAACGAACCGCCATGCATGGAGAGCCATGACCTCTGCCCTATGTGCCGCACTCGACACAAGAGGAAAGACTAACTAACTAACTAAGTGTACATAGGTGATTTGATGTCCGAGACAGATGACAGTTACCAGGTTGTTTACTAAATGCAGTCATCATCGCAGCATAAGTGTTATTTGTATTGTACAAATCTTGTTTGGGAATAATAAAGAACAAAGAACCATCAGTCTCAATTCACATTACATCATCATTTTTAAAAACCCTCGTGATGGTTCACAGATGACCAACTTGGCCAAACAGATGTATCCTGGCTGCGTTGCCTATGTCCAAGACAGCTTTAAAGACACCAACACCCAGGCGATTTGTTTGCCTAACTCTTTGAGACTGCCAAAAATAACCGACCTGTTGTCTATCTAGATGAAGCTGCTAGTAGTCCCTGGCCATTTATAAAGAGGAGATGTATATGTCAACTTTTTTTTTCCATCAGTAAATGAAAGACATTTGTTGTGTGTCTATAGCCGTTATAAAGTGTGAATATCTGTTATGTAAAACAGAACCTTCCGCCAGAGTTTACAGCTGGTGAACGCGAAAAAGAAGAAAGAGATAAATGTATAACTGTCTGTCTCTATATAAGTCTGTTTGCATTTGAATCAAAGTATGAAAAACTAAGTCAACCAACATCGAACTTGATTAGCAGTTAGATAGGTGACCGCTTTGGATCACTATATGTGTTGTAGACATCTCTTCAATTCCACATAATAGCCGCTAATAGTGTGTATCGGAGGAAGAAGGAGCTATCACGTGATGCTATTGTCTGTTTTACAAAAGTAACAAAAACTGAAGTTCACTGACAAATTGTTCGCGTAGTGACATCTGATATATTATCAGTGTTGTAAATACTATGGTCACTGTGGAACTAGTCGGCTGTGATAAACGGTCTCTGACCTTTGTTATGTTGTGACCAGTAAACACGTTCTGTTGGGGACTGTCTGACAAGACAAGGGCGCCTCTAATAGGAACATCTGGAGAGTAATAGTTGTTTCGCCATAACTTCCCCACTTCATTTCGTAGTCCCAGCTATTAATAACATATGAGTGTACTGGTGCGACGGGGAAAACAAAACAGAAGAGTTACAAACAAGAAAGGAGAGTTACAGGGATATCACTATATAGTTATCCACTACAAGGGAGAGTTTGATTGACAAATAAAGAGAGGACCACCCGCGCAACAGCAGTATTCTACTAGTCTGAAATAGGGAAAGCCTTGGGAATGTCTGTTTATATTTTTAAGACAGGGGTGCCTTCTTTCGTTTGCAAACACTTGGACAGTCATGGTTGTTTCGCCTTGACTTCCCACTTCTTTTCGCAGTCGTTTTACCCTGTATATTAATAACATAAGACTGTACAAGAGCTAGAGAGCGGGGGCCCATTATCAAACAGTATAAAACACAGGGGTCAATAATATGGGGTGTTCGGACCGATTCGATATGAAAGGGGGAGTTGCTCTTGACCGACGTCTTAGAAAAAGAAGCCGCTCACTTGACGGCCAAAAACTATCTTCACCTCCAACTCCACCTACAACTTCCCTCCACATCCAACTTCCCCTTACCTCCAACTTCCCTCCGCAAAAAATATGGATAATTAGCTCGACGTACTACTGCTGATCAGTCAGAAAGTGGAAAGTCAAAGATTAGAATTCACACCTCTTGAAGCTGCACTGGGATGTTGTGTGCCTAAAACAATTTCCACTGTTTACAATGCACAGCTGTATTAGCGTGTGAATATGTAGATGTGAGCCACTACTTAAAATGTCATCATCGATGTTGATCGTCATTTCTGGGGAAGCATTTATTTTTCTGTAGTTTGTCTAATGTTGCTGGCGAGGTCTCCTCTCGCGCCGTTACCTTTCTTTGGCCCTTTCTTTAATTCATGTTCTCTTAATCTGCGTTTTTCTCCGTGTTGCACGCATTTCTTCTGTGGGAGCCTGCGTTTCCCAGTGCTGTATCGGCTTAGTCTTATTTACTAGAGCAATCAATTTGCCGCAGTCGATCTTCGCTTGTAGACACTGGGGAATTCGTCGCCGGTCATATTCGTGATTACCATCTTGGCCTTTTCTTCTGCAGCATTTACTGACAGCCATTCAACGCCGATCTTCGTTTTCTGCTTATCCAGGTGTTCGAGGTTGACGTTTCCCGTGGAGCTGCTGTTAAGCTGTAGCGTGCACAGTCTCGGTAAGGGTGCAGTACCACTTGCTGGGTATCTTATGCTTATAAAGTTGCGAGATCCCGTAGGTTGGCACTTCTTGGCATGGACCAATGAGCAAGCTTGCCAACCAGGCTGGTGTTGCCCTGGAGCGGCCTCGGGACGGGACAAAGTAACAACTATGCTCCCCGTCCTGTGAGTCCTTCCCCCAGGAAACCCGTCAAATGGGTGCTGGAGGTTATATTCTTGTCTGTGGCTAGTAGTTGCTCAGGTTGTGGTAGTGATACAGGTCGGTTTGCTGTGATGATGTAAACGAATTCTTCGTGGGATCGCATCAATGTATAGTTGTCCTGACAAGGACACTGCTCTGATAAGAATAGATTCTACTCTTTAGTAAAAGTCAGTTTTGTACGTTGTAAAGAGAAACC